AGACTAACCCAGCACCTACCACTGTCACTGGCGAAACTAACAACCCAACTGTTGCTGCTCCTTCTGTTTCTTCAAGCGCTATCGCTTCTATCCTTCCAATCTCTGAATCTTCCGGAGCTACTAAAGGCACTTCATTATTTGCCTTACTTTTGGTCTTTTTAGTCCAATTTTTCTAATTTAGTTGAACATATTAGGAATTCTTCATTTTACTTCTTCTTTGCCTTAATTTCGCTCGGTTCATAATATTATTCTCGGTTTTTTACTATTTCAATTTCTTCATCGTCGGTACTCAAAAGTGTCATTGATTCTATATTACTTTTTAGAATCTAATAAAATTTCATTAATTTCGTTTCATTTTGTATTTTGTACCCAAATCATTCTAGTATCAATGTTCCGCACAAGTTTGCATTATTGTCGGGTTCCAAAAGAGTAATACAGTTCATAAGCCTATTTAAAGCCTAGCCTATAGAGCCTATGACTAGCCTGGCCAGATCTATTATGTATTGACTCCTCAGCTGATTGTTCACTGTCATGCATGTTTTTGGCCGAGATAATTGGTATCAACCTGGTAACAATTAGCGTAAAATAGTTCTATTATATAATCACAATATAAATGCAGCTTAAAATGTAAATAAGTTTTTCAAGATTATCGTGAGGCACGTCATCATAAGAAGAGAGAAACGGGCTTTGAAATTTTGTAAGCCATCTCAAAACGCGCTTTTTAACGATTAGCATGAAGAAGAATTTGACCTATAAAAGTGAAAATTATCCTCTGTTCAACAAGCCATTAATATTTCTAGCTCAATAAATATTCTAAATTCATAATGGTTAGATTATCTATCAGTTCGCTCGCTATTTTCACTTCCTTATTAACTGCTAAGGCAGCTGCAAAAGATGTCCTTTGTTTAGTCAATGATGTCCCAGTTGCAACCGTTGATTTGGATACAGGAGTTTGTCCATTCACTCTTCCAGCTGAATTAGTCGCTTTCTTCGATTACACCAGTTCAGAAGATTACAACATTCAATTCTACTACGCTATCGCTAACAGTGCAAGATACTTTACTGATATTGTTAACGCCGGAACTGAAATTGATATTCCTGCTAACCAAATTTACGGTACTGACGGTGCTCCAGTTTACCAAGTCCATGTTGAAAACACTCCAGCATCTAATTCTACTGCTGCTATCAGAAAGAGAATGTTGAATCAAGTTGAAGTTATCAAGAGAGATGAAGCATCTGACTTTGCTGAATCTTTAAAATCTGTCGATGGTACTTTAGTCAACTCTGCTCTTTTCAAGGTTGTTGATATTCCAAGTGGTTCTTCATCTATTGCCTCTGGTACTCCAACTGGTACTATCCCTGTCTCATCTGGTGTTAACACTGTAGGTGATGTTACTGAAACTTTGGAATCTACCAAGATTATCACTGTTACCCACTGTTCTGATAACAAATGTTCTGCCGCTACTGTTCCAGCCACCCCAACTGTCACTACCTACACTGTTGACGGTACTGTTACTTCTTACACTACTTATTGTCCACTTACTGATGCTGCAGATGTCACTGAAACTGTCGAAACTACTAAGATTATC